TTGGAGGGGTCTAAAATTAAGATTCTAAGTGTGGCTATTCATATATTGAAGACCACTGAATGATTAGCTTATAGAATGTTCTACTTACTCTTTCAATACCATCCAGCAATATTTGAAAATTTTAGCTCAATTATTATACATAGGCTAAAATTCTATAGAAACACTACCACATGTAGATTATTTTGAAATGAAAATAATAAATTTGCAATACCTTGAAATTACCTAATTTTTGAAAAGTTAACAGAGAAGTCTTCAATCTTTAGGAAAATCCCACTCATTCCACAGACATAATGAGTCTCATAAGTTGCAAGGGTCATCCTACTATATTAACTACAGGTCATAAGGGATTACAAATAAGCAACATAAACAAAAACCTGCACATTTCATTCAACTAAACCTGTCCTAACTAATCAAGATACACTAAAGCTATTTAAAAGTCTCTGAAAAGTTGTATTAGGAAAAAAATTATATTATACATATTAAATAGGGACTTTTCCCCCCTACTCTCTGTCCAGTCAGTTGGATTAACCTTACATAACAAAATAAAACAATCCGACGTAAGTACTTCTACTAAACACCAAAAGACTGGAGACTGGATCTTTTGGGATATTACTACTTCTTTATCTGATATATTCAATTATATAAAATTATGTACTGTGTAAGGATATGTAGTTCCTTTTCACAAATTCACAATTCCATGATATCCCTGAGAATGAGTGCCTTTGCTAGGAACATACCGTGGTGTGTTAACATTTTTACATCCATACATGAAATGCCCTAATTCTACAGAAGACTCACTGAGTCTTCCACATAGTTCCCAATCCTATCCCTTCCATTCCCACTTATGGAACTTTCCAGGGTTGCCCAACTATCTACTTCATATAACCAGCCAGAGTCAGGTGTTCTGCTTAGGACACAACATACAAAACCAAGTTTTAAATGTTTTTAAAAAACTTCTCATGCTATTACCCTGATCCTTTGTATTACTACTTTGCTTAAAACCCTGTGGTGGTTTCTACCACCAGTAGTAGTATTTTTCAAATCCCAGTCGCTATCTCCAGGTTGTTAAACCAATCTAGTGGGTCTCCACCATCATTCCTGCTTAAAAATGAAATACAATGGAACAGAATAATTCCGTGTGTGGCATGCCACCACACAGATACTATTTTGTGTCACTTTATCATTTATATGGGCATACTAGGTCACAATGTAAAACTGTATGTTATCAATGGTTATTACCTTTAAAAAGCTGGAAATACCTCTGCCTATGAGCTCCAGACTTTCATTTGTCTCAAGGCCATCAAATCTGGCCCTGAATAAGGCTTTCTAAACCCAGCTCTTGTTCTACAGACTGGAGCCCCAAGCAAACAATCCCTCAGTCTATGCTAAGATTTTTGCACTCCCCCAACTCCTTTTAGCATGGGGATCTGAACCCAGAGCCTTCACACTGAGCTACATCTTCAGCCCTTTTTATTTTTCATTTTGAGACAAGGTCTTAAAAATTGGCCAGGCTGGGCTCTAACTTGGAATCTTCCTGCCTTAGTCTACTGAGCAGCTGGGACTACAGGGGTGTATACCATCACCATGCCCAGCTAGCAGCTCCTTTCCTTAATGCTGTCGAGCATACTATTCTGCTTTGAATGCCTTCTCAGCAGTCTATAGGGCCCACCCTTGCTCACCTTTCAGTATTCAACATTTGTTTCCTGCTCCACAAAGCCATCTATCTTTCCGGCAGGAGCAAATGCCACACATATGCATATACACAGACACACTTTTTGCCTCTATAATGCACTATATTATAGCTTCTTCCACATTTCACTATACTTTATTTTAAACTCAACTGCCTTCCCAGTCTCTAAACTCTACATATGGAGGGAATGAGCACCTCTGCCTCAGTTCAGCATCACAGAACTTAGGTGTTAAAGTTGGTATAATGAACAAATTAAGAACTGCCACATAACTTTGCTGTTACAAATGACAGGATGGTTGCCTTTGCAACAAAGCCCACACATAACTGCAATGGTGAATCAAGATCTCCGCATTTTTGCTACAAGCTCCTGAGATCAAACCCCTAACGGTCTCCTCAGAAAGACAGTCACCTCCCTATCTTTCTGCAAAGATTGGACTCTGTTCAGACTGCAATATAGCAGCACCCCTTCCATTGCTTCCAAAGGTTGTGTTGGGGGAAGGATAGGGCAGGGGGTCCAAAGGCAGGTAAGAATAAAAACCAGCATTATCAAGTTTCATTAGCAGATTATACAAGCAACTAGTTCTTAATGGTGGTGGAGTGACACCAGTAGTCAACATAAGCTAAACAACAAAAACGCAGCACAAAATAACTGGTTGAAAGTACTTGATTTCTGTTGCTTACACTAATAATTCTGAAACAGCTACCATCTCAATTCACTGCTCTCATAAGATGGGGGGGTGTGTCAACTTTTTTAACAGGGGCTCCTCACTGACACTTAAAAAGTTTTCCATGTACTTCATTCTACATAATTCTCTTTCTTTTCAGGGGGTCTGATGCACCTATTTTACAAACCCATACTTCAGCTGCCATCACTGCAATTAAACACTTCACACAACATCCAAGATAGTTTCACAGACTCTGCCAACTGTCAGTTTCAGCTGTTCTTTTTCTTTTCCAGTTTAATATAGGAGCCATAAATTTTTCTTGCCCAAGCCAATTAACCATTTTACTAAAAAACGACTCTGTTGCTTAGACTTGCAATTATATACCAAGATAGATAAATCCTACTAAAACTCAGTATTAGAAAAAAAAGTATTTGTAATATGTAAAACTCTTCACCCAAAAGATTAAATTTAAGGTACTGGTCAGAATAAGGTAGTGTAGGACTGCACAGGTAAAACTTAAAAGGGATTTAAAGTTCTGTTCCTTTTGGTTTTAAATAGGTCCGGACAACTAAGTGCCTTTGCTGTATGCTTTTCTAATTCTACCTTCTCTTTCTTTTTCAACAACTCAGATCAAACAGTTTCCTCTCCACGAAAAAGGGTCATAGTCCGAAAATAAACTTTGGAAAAATAGCACAAATGCTTATTCCTTTTTCTCAAGTTCAACCTTTAAAATGTTACTAACAAAAGGGCAAATAAACTTGTTTGTAAATAAATTTAATTATTCTAAAAGCTCATTTTCTTTATTTTAAATACCACTCACCTTAGTAAGTTCAACCCATACATATATTCTTTGCTAAAACGTTGTAAAAAACTGATATTCTTTCACAATGCTATCATTTTACAGTCTGAAAAATGTAGACTTCAACATAAAAAACTACTGACTTTGTGTGTGCATACACATTTTAAACAGTGATCTCTTTAGGACCTGTATTCTAAGACCCATATTCCAAAGGTTTTGAATATGAATGTCTTTCAGTATTTTCTCATTTAAAATTGGTGTAATTTCATCAGCAAGATGGCACACACTTGTAGTTGCAGCACTCGGAAGGCTGGGGCAGGAGGATCTCCTCGAGTTTGAGGCCAGTCTTGGCTACAAAGCCAGCCTGAATTACACAGCAAGACCCTGTCTAAATAAATAAATACATAAATAAATTAATAAATACTGTAATTTATCCAAAACATTTTTCAAATGCCATTATTTCCCAGCGTAAGTACTTAAATAGCTTAGAAAGAGAGAAAAATACCTTCATTTGAAAGATCAGTAGATCAAGAAACCACTAAAACAGAGTCAGAAAAAAAAAGAATTCATTTTTACAGACTGGAAAAAAAAAATCTCTAAAAGTCATTTCATCTAATTCCTTCATTTTACAGGTAAGAAAACAAAAACAGTCCACAGAGGTTAAGCAATGTGCCTCAGGTCACTAAGCTACTAATAGCAGCACCATAAATAGAATAAGGTATTTTAATTACTCTTACTAGTACCCCATAGCATGCGAGTTACTTGTCATTTGAGTCTTAAAACCAATTATCACCTCCTCATTAATTCCGGAGTAAAGGATTCCTACAACATATTTTTTGAATTTTTAAAGTGAATAAACTTCAAATTCTAACTCACAAAAATAAAGTACTACCAAGTACTTTAAGGAAGTGCATATACACCCTTAAACCATCACAGTGAATTTCAGTCCGTCATTTAAAACCCTGTCCTTCAACTACAGTTTTTACACCTTTTTCAACCATGAAAACATCAAATTCTGGGAAGTTCCTTGTGTACGGAAAGAACTGGCAATCTGTCAAAGACAGGAATAGATCATTATTCCAATAATGTGTGATAGGGTTCCAGCTTAAATTAACAAAAGTCACTACTAGCACTTATCAACTACAGTGCGAAGAGTTAAAACTTTGGGAGGAGCATTCTTGGCTGGCTCTGGATAAGATGTAGATCTGATATTGTTAACAAACTGAAGGTCTAAGATTAAAACTGAAAGAAAAGGAAGAGTGAACATGTGCCTTCCACCTAAAGCTTCCCCTATTCCAGCTCTGATCTCGGTACCCCATGCACCCGCACAGTGCAGACTGTATCGGTGAGACTTTCAGATTTTCGCTTTGAATGCCTCAGTAACTCAACTCTACCTTTTCGCTACGAACACTCAAGGGCAAAACAGAGAGCACGTGAGGGCAACGATTTACTCTGGACCTCGTCCAAAGACTGTCGTCTACGTACAATCGCTCCTTCGTGCAACTGATTATTTCTGAAGTGCTGAAAGAAGGCAGCACTGTACTTCTTTTTGAAAGATGCCCTAGACAAAACCTACGATAACGATTTTGACAACTGTCGCGGTTTATCAATGCAACAGTATTCGGCAGAATGCGTCGTCTCTGTCACACACACAAAATACCCAAGTTCCTGGATGACCTCTGGTGTCATTCTACAAAAATAACTTGTTAAAAGGTTAGTACACCTGTATTTTAAAGTAGGACCAGCTCAGCAAAGAGGCAAATTTGCTTGGAAACAAGTCACTGCACTGTTTAATACACACACACACACACAGACTCGAGGCCGAGATAAGCACAACAGTCCTTACCCCATTTTGCCCAGGGAAAACTTGCTCTGAAGTTTCCGCTCCCGTTACGGAATAACTTCCACAGTAATTTTTCTGGCGGCTATTTCGCAGCTGCTTTTCCACCCCTCTGAAAACAGTTTTCGTAGATATTTCAATGATGTTGACAGTTCAATTAGTTTTCGTTGGTGAAATGATTTCTCTCTCGTTAACACCAAAACGTTCGAACAGAGGTGACATTTGCTTATTAGAGTTAAAATGCTGCGCGGAGACACAAGTCAACTCTTCCCCAAATGAGCGTCCAGGTAGCGAAACGCAGAAGCCAGCCTCACGGAGTCCTATGAAAAATGAGTTCGCTGGTCATTTCGCGCCTGTCGTCCTCCACACTCACAGAGGGACGGGAAAAGCGGCCTTTTCGAGGCTAAGGCTGTGGGTTCAAATTTCTCCACTCCAGGTCCCTGGGGGTGGAGCGTGCAACCCAACACGACGTGCACTTTAATTAAAAAAAAAAAAAAAAAAAAAAACCTAAAAACAGCAACACCACTGCTTCCTGCGCTCGCGTCGGAGGAGGAGAAAGCTGTGCAGGAATCTCGAGGCGCCGCCGGCAGCTCGCGACGCGCACACCAGCACCCGCCTTCTCACTCTCTCTCCTGCCGAGGCGCGGAGCGGAGCCGCGAGGCCGGGCAGCAGCGAGGCGCTCTCCCGCGCAGGCTGAGTCGAGCCATTGCCCGCAGGGCAGCCTCCGGGCGCCGCGGCGGAGCGGGAG